ATTCCTAACCTGAACCCGAAACCCGGAACCCTCATACGGTCCTGATCTAAAGCTTGTCCGAAGATGAAATCCCGACCGAGACACCATATGAAACCCTGTCATGCTTGCACGAAACCCCTTACAGAACTATAGAACCTAAACCCCGAAAACCTAAACCCTACACCCAAACCTATAGAACCTAAAAGCCCATAAAGTCACCGAAATACGGGTTCGCCGAGTTGCGGATAGGGAAAGCCGACCTCCTGGATCCTGCGATCAGCCTGGAGGGTTAGGACTTATACTTAATGGTACTTGGAGGATCATGGGACTTAGTAAGTACAAGGTTATAAATAAGGTAACTATACTATATAATTACTTGTAACCCCAATTAAGGTACTTATAACCTCAGTTACTGAGTCCCAGGATCCTCCAAGTAGTCATAAGGGTACTAGAAGGGTTTAGGGTTCCTAGGGTTCCTTTAAAGAGATACCGTAAGGGTACTATAAGGGTCTAGGGTTTCGGGTACCCAGAGGGTCCATATATATATATATATATATATATATATGACAAATATGGATTAGGTCCCAAAAGACCATTCCTGTTATGGTTTTGGGAGCCTGATTCCGAAATAGTACCAATGGACCCTCTTGGTTAATGGTCGTCAAGGGTTCAGGGTGCAGGGCTTTGGGGTTTAGGCTGTGTGGTTGAAGGTCTTAAGACCTACTAGAAGGCACATCTTGAAGTCTTTTTCGGATTAGCCTCAAGGTTTTCTCGCAAGCGAGTAACAAAGTGCCTTATAAGGGTTCGTGAGGGTTTGGTGTACGGTTGCTTGGGGGAAGCCTAGATTTGGCAGTTGTGGCCTTGATTCAAGGCTTTTTGGATTGGGATTTGGATCTATACGCTGTCGCGACAGACTGGGTCTTAGTTGAGGTCGTTGAGGTCTGAAGGTTCAGAGCCACCCTTGTCCTTTTAGAAATAATAGACAGAGCCCTATACCTATATCCCTTAGTAGGAATTATTTGAGAAGGTCTACTAGCCGGTTTGTTTATTCTTTTGGGGGAACCATGAATAAGGACAAGGGTGTTCAGAGCTGTGTGCAGGCTTTGGGTCCGGGCCCGGTGAGATCTCGACATCTACACCCTCACGTAGACAATGGAACACCCCAAATCCAAAAATTGAACCGGCTTAGGGCTGTGGGTTTAGTAAAGGCTAGACCCTAACACATGCAACCCATAAAGCAACTCATAAACCCATAAAGTCTGCATAAAAGCAACCCATACAAGGAGCCTTTGAAGGGGACCTTGAAGGAACCTTAGAGGGATGGGATCCTCTACAGTAGAAGCCCAAAAGTTGGAAACCCCATAGCCTCAATCCTTAAGAGTAATGTATAGGGCATCCCAGCACTATTTGGCATCAATCCGGTTTCCAACTTTATGGAGTTCACTGTACGGCGTGTCAAGGATTTTGGGGATGCGGGTCAGAGTCACGCGGATCTGGGTCCCAGGACCTTGCAATATCCACTAATCCAAGAATATCACCTGAATCAGATTAAGGATCCTACTACAATTTGGGGTATATTCCTTAATTTCTGTAGTACCCTTGTAGAAACCCCTACAGATCTCTTTCAGGAACCCTTTAAGGTATATATATATATATATGATACAATATAATAATGTAGTATAGTAAAGTATAACATAAGATAACATGATACGTATATATGCCCGGTCAGGGTGTTTTTATTTTTTTTGTGGCCCCTTTTTGCTCGGGCCCCGTGTCAGTAGTTTCTAGAATTGTTTTTGCTGTGGTCCCCGGGCGTGCAAGGTGCTCTTTTTTTTTGTTTCGCCCCGTTGGGCGACGCGACGTTTCGGCGGTGCCAGAGCAAAAAAAACCACCCAAGGTGTTTTTTTTTTTGCTCCGGCCCCGCCGAAAGGCAGGGGAAGCAGAAGCCTCGTTGGGCTCCGGCGCGGGGCCGGAGCAAAAAAAAAAACACCACCCAGGGTGGTGTTTTTTTTTGCTGTGGCCCGGCTGGGTGGCAGGGGAAGAAGAAGCCTCGTTGGGCGCCGGCGCGGGGCCAAAGCAAAAAAAAAACACCACCCAGTGTGTTTTTGTTTGCTGCGGCCCCGCTGGGCGGCAGGGGAAGGAGAAGCCTCGTTGGACGCCGCGACGTTTCGGCGGGGCCAGCGCAAAAAAAAAACACGACCCACTGCGTATTTTTGTGTACGGTCCCACTGGGTCATTGGGTGCCGCAAGCTTGCGGCGAGGCCGGAGCCAAAAAAAAAAAAACACCCGTGGTAGTTTTATTTTGGTTTGGAACTATTTTGTGATTTGTTGTGGCTTGGGTGGGTTTGCTAGAGTGCTTATGAGAACACACACGTCCCTGTGGTTTCCGTTAGGAAAACGCACGCTGCCTTGGATTTTGCTGAGAGAAAACTGCTTTCCTGACAGTTTGGACGGATGTCGTGCCATTTCCCTACATTTTCGCGAGGCAAACCTACGCCACCTTCGTTGGTGTTGCGTTTGCTGTTGCTATTGTTGTTGTTGTTGTTGTTGCTGTTTATTGTTGTTGTTGTTGTTGCTGTTGTTGTTGTTGTTGATGTTGCTGCTGCCGTTGGTCCTGTCGTTGCTATTGTTTCTGCTCTTGTTAATGTTTGTGATTTTGTTAATGTTGTTGTTATTGCTGATGCTGCTGTTGCTGTTACCATTGCTACTATCATATTCAATGTTGTTGCTGTTGTTGTTGGTGTCAGCATTATCATTGCTGTTGTGGTTGTGTTATTGTTCTTGTTAATGGGATTGTTACTGTTCTTGCTGTCCAGTAATTTAATCTGATTTGTTATAGTTTAAAACAACATAGTATACTATACTATAATATACCATAACATGCTATAACATAATCAAACATAACACAATGACGCAACCCTTTTGCAAACAGAGTGCCTTTATGATGAGTTTTGGAAAGCTCTAAAACAATTTGTGTTTGATGCACGTCTTGTTCATGGTGCGATGTTCCTGAAAACAAGCCTGCACCGCTTAAAAACAAAGCGGGGGCGTTGGGGGGGGCGCGGCCCCCCCCCCCCATTTGCAAACACAACGTCTTTATGACGGGTTCTGAGAGGGTCCTCCATATAGGTTCTGTTTTTGCTGGCAAGATGATACTCGAAGCGGCTTTGACCAGCCAAGAAAAAGGGGGACGCACCTCCTCAAGGCCTTTAGGATGAGTGTTGCAAAGCTCTAAAACTTTTCTTTTTCGTGCAAATCTTGTTCATGGTGTGATGTTGTTGAAGGCAAGCCTGCACGGCTTAAAACGAAAGCGGGGGGGGTTTGGGGGGGCGCAGCCCCCCCCATTTGCAAACACAACGTCTTCATGACGGGTTGTGAGAGGGCCCAATGTGGTTGCTGTCTTTGCTGGCATGATGATAGTCGAAGCGACCTTGCCCCGCATAAAAAACTTTACATAATATGATATCATATCATACAATATAATGTATTATGATATTAAAGTATAGCAAAGTGAAATATAACGAGGCAAGATACAAAAAACAAACAAACACGCACACACACATAATATATCATAATACAATATCAAAAAATAACAAACATTAATATAGATTTGAATAATTTTACTTAACATATAAAATCTAGTACAGAAAAATGTAGATATAATATAGCATAAAAGGAGACCACAAAAAAGTAATATTGTATGAAACTTTGAAATATAAAAGGAAATGTGATATTATAACCTAATATTATATGATACAATAAAACACAACATAATTTAAAAACATAATGTATTATAAAGCAAAAAAATGCAACAACATAATTAGTATCATGCAATACACTTTAATGCGAAATTTTATAAAATAACACAGAACATAAAATGGCATAGTATAGTAAAACTCTGTATGACGAAACAAGATATAACAATATCATATCATATAATCTTCTATCTCATGGCCTAATACAACACCATATACTTAAACACAATATATTCTAATTAACAAGGTTCGACATAATGTTGAAAAAACATGTATCATATAATATAATTTCTTGAAAAATGTAAAACAATGATGCACCCCCCTTTTGCAAGCAGAATGCCTCTATGATGAGCTTTGAAAAGCTTCAAATCAATTTTCTGTTTGATGCAAGTCTTGTTCGTGGTGCTGGGCCACGATGCTGGGGCGACCCTTCCGCCGGGCCCGGGTGGTGTTTTTTTTTTTTTGCTGCGGCCCCGCCCCGACGCTCACTCACTCACTGCCCGCCTGGGCGGCGATGCTTCCCGGAGCGGTGGTGTTTTTTGTTTTGCTGCGGCCCCGCCTGGACCGGGGTGGTGTTCTTTTTTTGCTGCGGCCCCGCCCGGACGCTCACTCACTCACTGCGGGCCTGGGCGGCGATGCCTCCAGCCGGGGTGGTGTTTTTTTTTTTGTTTGCTGCGGCCGCGCCCGGACCGGGGTGGTGTTTTTTTTGTTGCTGCGGCCCCGCCCGGACGCTCACTCACTCACTGCGGGCCTGGGCGTCGATGCCTCCCACCGGGGTGGTGTTTGTTTTTTGCTGCGGCCCCGCCCGGACCGGGGTGGTGTTTTTTTTTTTGCTGCGGCCCCGCCCGGACGCTCACTCACTCACTGCGGGCCTGGGCGTCGATGTCTCCCGCCGGGGTGGTGTTTTTTTTTTTGCTGCGGCCCTGCCCGGACCGGGGTGGTGTTTTTGTTTTGCTGCGGCCCCGCCCGGACACTCACTCACTCACTGTGGGCTGGGGCGACCCTTTGGGCAAGGCCCGGGTGATGTTTTCTTTTTTGCTGCGGCCCCGCCGAACTCGGCGAGCCAATAACAAAAAATGTCTGGTGTACTACCTCGGGTCTAAAAAGACCCGGCGGGGCCACAGCAAAAAAAAACACCACTTCCCGTATGTATATGTATATATATGTATATATATATATATATAAAGATATATATATATATATATATATATATGTTCCTTGATTAATTAACGGATACTGGCAGGTCTGGGTCCTTACCGCTCCGACCTTCGCCATCTCCTCACGGCACGCAAGCTCTGCAAAGCACCGGGCCTAGCAAGAACGAGGTTTTGCTTCCATAGGGATCTATAAGGGGTCCATTAAAGGGATCTATAGGGTGTAGGGATCTAAGGACTCAGATATTAAGGTTTTTGGGCTCAAAGACCATACTATATACGGCTTTTGGGCTATTTTGATCCCTAGGGGAGCTTGTGTTTTATGTTCAAGGCTCAGGTTGGGGGTTTAGAGGGTTTGGGGCTTAGGGTTTATAGGTTTAGGGTGTGGGTGCTTAGAGCTTCAGGTTTGGAGGTTTTTGCGCCGGACTACAGGTTCTATAATGTGAGGGTTCTATCATGTTCCCACGAAGCTTCTACCGCGGAAGGGTTGGGGCTTAGGGTTTAGGGACTTAGGGCTTTAGGGTTTAGGGTTTCTGTAAGCATTTTGTTTGTGGGTTGTGGGTCAGGGCATAATGAAACAGCCTTGCACTTTGAGGGTTCATGATGTCTACAAGGGGCTGCCGTTGCGTTTCGGCATTCACGGTTTGAGAAATTCGGCTTCAGCGCTTTGGGACTCGAAGCACAGGCTCAAGCAACGCACCCGTAAAAAAAACTCTGTCTTGCCCCCCCAAACCACTGAACTTCAATCAGGGTGTAGGATTTTGGGTTTAGGGCTGAATTATGAAGACCCGCCATCCGGATCCTTCAATACTGACTGATCTCCGGGAGTCCTGCCTTACTGCTACCAAAGAGGTCAGGTGTAGTTGAAGGGGTTGCTCCTTTATTAATGCTGATCTGCCATGGACCGCCAGAGAGCCTTTAGCCACACGGTTGATGATATAAATCCTGCATTACCTTCATGGCCCTAGACCATAGGAATTATTATGGTATATTCCTTATTAAGGGTCATGCAGGATTTCTATCATCAACCGTAGCTACCTAGCACATCCTTCCAAATTTGCTGGTCAAAGCCTCGTTGAGCTGGACGAAAAACCTATACGACAGCGGCCAGTAGCACTCTAGGAGCGGTTCAGGGCTTACCGTTTCTCGTCCGTGAGACTATGAAACCCCAAACCCGGGATCCCCAAACCCAAAGCCCAGCCCCGAAGCCCTCAAACCGCCAAACCCCTAAACCTCAAAAGCCTTAGTCTATAGTTCCTACCTATAGTCTCCATTGTAGTTCCTTTTTTTGGTTTAACCAATTATATATTAAGGATCCTATAAGGCATCCCCAAAAAGGAACTACAATGGAGACTATAGGTAGGGCCCTAAACCCGAACGCCTACATCGTAAGGTGCCCTCCCAGAGCCTTGATCGAACACTGTGCAGCCGTCATTGTAGAAATTCTCCAAACCCACCCTGAAACTTAAACCCTAAACCTGAAGCCCGAAAGCCTAAACCTTAAACCTTAAAAGCTAAACCGTAAACCCCGAACACCTTACGCCCTAAGGCCTAAACCCTCAACCTTGAACCCTAAACCCTAAACCCTGAACCCAAAACCTTGAACCCTAAATCCGAACCCTAAACCCTAAACCTTAAACCCTAAACCATTGGCCGCCCGCGCCCGGCGGCGGCCGGTACCACTGAACGCTACCGCTTCGAGATCTGCTTGCTTGGCCAAGCAGATCGAGTCTACCAGACCTGATTTGGCACTGCTAGCCATGGGGCACAATAGTAAAATTGGGTACCCTTATCTCCCAGCGCGAGAACCCTGGCGGGGACGGGACCTGGTAGAAAGAGCTTGACGAGCGACCCTGGCGGGTATGGCGGGCGACTCTGGCGGGGACGGCTGACGACCCTGGCGGGGACTTGGTGGACGGACGACTTTGGCGGGGACAGCGCGCGGGACGGCGGACGACTCTGCTGTGACAGCAAAAGGGCCAAAAACAGCTTGGCAGACGACTCTGGAGGGGGACGGTGGACGACCCTGCCAGGGACGGCAGGACGACTCTGGCGGGGACTTGGCGACTCTGACAGGGACTGAAAAAGCCAAAAACAGCTTGGCAGACGACTCTGGAGCGGATGGCGCCTTATCTCCCAGCGCGAGAACCCTGGCGGGGATGGGACCTGGTAGAAAGAGCTTGACGAGCGACCCTGGCGGGGATGGCGAGCCCCTGGCAGGGACGGGTGACGACCCTGGCCGGGACTTGGTGGAGGGACGACTTTGGCAGGGACGGCTCGCGACCTCAACCCGGCGGGGACAGCGGACGACTCTGCTGTGACAGCAACTAAAAAGGCCAAAAACAGCTTGGCAGACGACTCTGGAGGGGGACGGCGGACGACCCTGGCGGGGACGGCGGGCGACCCTGGCGGGGACGGCGGACGACTCTGGCGGGGACTTGGCGACTCTGACAGGGACTGAAAAAGCCAAAAACAGCCTGGCAGACGACTCTGGAGGGGATGGCGGACGGGACGGCGGGCTTGGCGTTTGACAGGCACGAAAAGGCCAAAAACAGTTTGGCAGACGGACGACCCTGGCGGGGACGGCGGGCAACCCTAGGGGACGGCGGACACTCTGGCGGGCACTTGGCTTTGACAGCAACTAAAAAGGCCAAAAACAGCTTGGCAGACGATTCTGGAGGACGGCGGACGACCCTGGCGGGGACGGCGGGCGGTCGTGGCGGGGACGGCGGACGACCCTGGCAAGGACGGCGTAAGGACCTTGGCGGGGACGGCGACCCTGACCAAGCGACCCTGGCGGGGACAGCGGGGTGACCCTGTCCAAAAAGAGCTTTGCAGCAATCAGCCCATGAAAACCAGCCGTTGCCCATGTAGACGCTCGATTTTGCAAGCACCCGCTCCAGAAACACATCAGTGGCATCGCAGCGGACAGCACATCAAAACCAGCCATTCCCTATGTAGACGCTCGCTTTAGCAAGCGCCCGCTCCAGAAATACATCAGCGACATCGAATCAAACAGCAAACAAAAACCAGCCGTTCCCCATGTAGACGCTCGATTTTGCAAGCACGCAGCAAGCACCAAGTAACACAGAGAGAACGAATCTGCAAGTAAATTGCTGTAAATTCAGCTTCAGCACTCAATATTCCCGAATCAACATAATCACGTATCCCCAAGTAGACGCCCGGTGATGCGACCCCCCCAGGTGCTTCCCCGCAAGGTGGGCTGGGATCCAACAAGCATGATGCGACTTAGCTCCGTCACTGTACAGGGTGTGTCACAGTGCCGTGGCCAGGCGGAAATGTCTGTTTCACGTCTCTGGCGGCTGACGACTATAGTTTGACGGGGACGGGACGTCCTAGAAAGAGCTTGGGGACAGTGGCCGACTCTGGCAAGGAGCTTGGAGTGCGAGTCTGGCGGCAAAGCTGGACAATTCTGGCACGGACTGCCGGGCGAAAAAACCCTGGCGGCCGACTGGATGATCAGCACTCTTGGCCGGACTGGCACGGACAGCGGACGGCTGCAGACCACTTCTGGAAGCCTGGCACTGGGCCCTGACGGACGACTCCGACGACGGCTGACGGACGACTCTGGCGGCCGGCGAGGACGAGCGAGGGCGTCGCTGCTATTTTGTGACTACATCACTCGGATGTCCCTTAAGACGTTCCGCAACATTGCAACGCCTTTTCGGCTAGTGCAGCACTCGAATAAGAAGAAGCAGAACACAAAACCCGTTCTAGTCCTGCTTCGGGTGGTTGTGGGTGGGTTCCACGTTACGAAGACGGCGCGACCCACGACCACTCCATGGGTGGGGCGCGCCGTGGCACTGTGACACACCCTAAACCCTAAACCCTAAACCTTAAACCCTAAACCCCGAACCCCCGAAGCAAGGCCTGCTGGGTGAGAAGCTGCTCTGCGAGATTCGGCTCCCGGAAGAAACTTCCGTTGAGCTGAAGCCAGGCCTTGACCTGCATAGTGGGGCTATAAGTAAGATAGGTATCATAACCCATATTAATTAAGGGACTTATAACGCTACCTCTATGTACAAAAAGGATGCCCTTTTTTGGGTTAGAGGGGGTTATCAGAGAACCTAAACCCATAAAAAAGGAAATAAGGGTCTACTCTGGGTCCTAGTGCATGAGGCGATGGTGAACGGTTTAGGGTTTTGGGGGGTTCGGGGTGGAGGGTTTGGGGGGTCGGGGGTTTAGGGGGTTCAGGGTTTAGGTTTTGACAGTGTTAGGGCTCAGGGTGCTGAGTTTGGGGCTATGTTGGTTAGTTGGTGGTAACAGATGTACATCTTATTCCGACTGCTAGTGTTTTTCTTGTTCCGATTAGTCTGACAGTTGAGACTGCCACGATCATTATTGATACCATCCTACTAAGAACTATCGAAGGCCGCAAACCCGCAAACCTGACAGGCCCCGAACCCAAAGGACCCTAGATCCCCCAAATCTCGAATAACCTGAACACGGTTTAGGGTTTAGGGTTTAGGGTTTAGGGTTTAGGGTTTAGGGATCTACAACCCCATAAAGTTGGAAACCGGAGTAAGGCCGGATAGTGATGGCAGTCACTATAAATTTGAGGCTACTGGGTTTCCAACTTTTGGGCTTCTACTGCAAGACTCTGAAGCCTGACAAGCCCCAAGCCTTACCCCAAGGGTCCGAGGACCTGATAATCATATACTCAGGGTTCAGGGTTTAGGGTTTAGGGTTTAGGGTTTTAACCTACATAACAACCATCCGAAACCTAAGGACCTAACTCTTGGGGTCCTTTGGGGCCCTTTCGGGCCCCAAAAAAGCACGTAAGCAAAAAAAAGGATGGGGATATCCCATAGAAACCCTCTTAAAGGGAAGGCCCAATAAGGTAGGGATATATCCCCATAAGATGCTTATGCTTATGTGCTTTTTGGGTCCCCAACCCTTGGGGCTACAGCCAAGAGCGACGAACGCCTGAAGCGGTGGACGCCTAAAGTAAGAATCGGGCTCGAAGCTTTGGGTGGAGAGTCATTGTAGAACTCCTATAATTTGAAACCCTCTTTATAGATCCCTTCTTAAAGAAGCCCTTATTATTAAGGCACTCATATTCTCGAACCCCAAGCCTGATAATCACCTCAAAACTTTAGATGAAAAAGCCAGTGTTATAACCCTTCTTATAGACCCTGGCGCCTGCTGCAACAACAGCTCGCACTGGAAGCTCAGGCTCAAATCGCCGGAGATCTGCTCCAAACACGCCTACTGCCAGAGATCAGGGTTCAGGGTTTAGTATCGGGCTTAGGATTTAGGGCTTAGGGCCCAGGATTTATAGGGCTTAGGGATAGTCGGAGTTTAGGGTTTAGTTTTGGGCTTAGGATTTAAGGTTGCCGGGATCCTTTCTACCCTAATTAAACCCTAAACCCCAATCCAGAAATCCTGAACGCTTATCCCGAAACCCAAAACCCTAAACCCTTCCTTTCTATCTAAGGGTAAAAGGCGGGACCCTTAACAAGGACCCCTAGGTGTATACCCTTAATATAGCTGTTATATACCCATTGTATAGCCCATTATAGGGTAGGGGTCCCCATTAAGGGTCCCTCCTTTTCCCCTTTGATTCCAGGTTCTACCTTTCTAGATTCTAAATCCTAACTTTCTAGATCCAAAGCCCTAATTTTCTAAACCCTAAACCCTTCCTTTCTAGATTCTGCCGGCCTTCTGGTGCACCAGGACGAACTCCTGGGCCTCGCGTGCGTGCCTTTGCCGGAGTCCGGCGAACGCGGCGTCCACGTCGTAGGGCCCTTGCTGTGAAGCCTGGAGGCTTCAGGGTTTTAAGAGTTTAGGGCTTAGGGTAGTTAGGTTCAGGTCTGGGGTCTACTTGGAGGTTCAGGGGTAGTTATAAGTAGGGTTTTAAGTCCCTGAATACGGATTATAAGTATAGTTGCCCTACTTATAACCCTACATATAACTACCCATGAACCTCCAAGTAGGGTCTAGAGTCTAGAGTTTAGATCGGTTTTCGGGTTGGGGTCGGGGGCCTAGGGTCTAGGTTTCAGGGTTTAGGGTTCAGGATGTAGGGTTCGGGTTTTTGGATTTAGGGTTCTGGGTTCGGGATTAGGGTTTGCATAGGGTGAAAGCTCAGGGCTTAAAGGCCGTGGCGTTTTACTTTGCTGTCGAGAGGTTTGGAGAGTTATGTACAGTGGGTTTGGGGTACAGTATGGGGTTTGGGGGCTGTGCTTCTTGCTACAGAAATAAACCCTAAACCCTAAACCCTGAATTTCTATGAGAAGGCGGCCAAGAACGTGCACCCTGTCGAGAACAGGGTTTCGTGCTGGGGCCTAGTCATGCCCGGTGGAGGAGTTTCCGAAAATTAGGGGTACCTTAGGGATCCTTTAAAAGGTTACTATAAGGGCTCCTTAAAGGGATCTATAAGGGTTCTATAGAGAGTTTAGTGTTTAAAATTTCCGAAAATTAGGGGTCCTTATTTGGGGGGGTCCTCATACTGAGGATCCTACTGTTTAGGGTCCCCTATTTTCGGAAACTCCTAGGTCCTAGGTAACCTGCAGGTCAATCACATTACTATTCGCATTAGCAATGATCTTAATAGTATCATCACAGCCATAGTTGTCCTAGTTACAGGCATACTATCCGCTAGTAACTAGCCCCATACCAGACCTGAATGCAAGAAAACTGTACAAAACCAGAACCCTGACCCCAAACCCCAAAGGCCCTCGCACCTAAACGCTGAATCCTGAAAAACCTCAACCCTACTTGGAGGTTCATGGGTATTTATAAGTAGGGTAACTATACTTATAACCCATATTCAGGGACTTATCTTATAACTACCCATGAACCTCCAAGTACATGACTCTACATGCACGCCGGAAAAGATCAAGCTGAAACAGTAATCATATGCGAAATAGGGAGAGGACGCAGCTACAATAAAATAACTCATAAAACTACAAGCCTGCAACCCTAAACAAGAAACCCTAAACGCGAGCATAGAACCTTTAACATTGACAAACAAAGGAACGCCACAGAACAAAACCTTAAAACCTAAATCCCTAAACCCTAAACCCTTAAACCCTAAACCTCAAAAGCACTTAATCCTAAATCCCTAAACCCTTAAACCCTCAACCTCAAAAAGGATTTAATCCTTAGGTCCTTTGGACCCTCAGAAAACCACTGCCTCGAAGGCTGCCGTCGGCTGGGCGTTTGCTTTGTACGCCAGGGGCCAACTCCACGACTTCTTGGCTTCCTGTTTAAGTTCACTTAGGTGCCGAGTTCATAAGCCAAAAAAAGTTTAAACTTTCAGTTTTAAGAGGGTTTCATTATCCCAAAAAGTTTAAAGTTCATAAACTCAGCTACTAAGTTTAGGGGTTTAGGTGTTTAGGGGTTTAAGGTTTAAGGTTTTAACCCTAGGGGGGATCCTGTTTAACCGGTCCAAAGGACCCCATAATTAGGTACTGGGTTTTTAGGATAGTACTTATGTAAGTTAGGATTTTGCAGAGTACATGATTATTAGGTGCCTGGACCCTTGGGGTAGGATCAAAATAGCCCAAAAGCCTTATACAGTATGGTCGTTGGGCCCAAACGCCTTAGTATATGAGCGCTTAGATCCCTAGGGTAAAGGTTGTTGCATAAGGGGATTAGGGTTTAGGGTTTAGGGTGTAGGGGTTCAGGGGTTCAGAAGTTTAGAGCTTAGGGTGTACTTGGAGGCCCAGGGGACTTAGTAAGTAGGTTATAAGTAGGGATACAATTAGGGTAACTCCATTTAGGGCACTTGTAACCCTACTTAGAACCTACTTACTAAGTCCGCTGGGCCTCTAAGTAGGGGGTTTAGGGTTTAGGAGGTTGCATAAGAAGGGCATAAGGTTCCTTAAAGGGTTGCTGAAAGGCTGCCTAAAAGGGGAGTCTACAAGGGGGATCTGGGTGACTATGAGGCCCAAGAGACTTAGTGAGTCGGTTATAGCCTAACCCTAAACCCTAAACCCTTGACCGTGGTACCTGCCCGGGCCGTCCGCTGAACCTCTTCCCAATACGGGTCGATGGTTTGGGGTTTAGGGCTTAGGGCTTTGGGTTTGTGGTTTAGGGTTTAGTGAAGGTGGTCATGAAGTCCTATACCCTAAACCTTGAAACCTCCGCCTGCTAACAGCATCTCGTCTCCAAAACCTCGATTTCAAGGTAACCGAAGAGAAAACCCATAGGCCCCAGAGTAGTTCCTTTGTAGGGTTCATAACAAGAATCCTATAAGGTTATCCCAAAAAGGAACTTCTATGGGGCCTAGGGGAAGAGTATAAGCTTTTCAGGCAGAATGGTCCCGTCAAGGAACACTTGCAAAAATGCATTCATGGTACTCAAGGACCCAGAAGCAGGTCCTCTGCGAAGGGCCGAATCAACGTCTCGCTCTCTGCCGCTTGTTGGTAGCGGTTCCTGCTTGTCAAGCTTGCGGCATTGAAATGTGGGGCTGAAGCTTTGCTTGGTGCCGATCTTCAATAGACCTCAGCATTATATCATTATTTATGGTGACGGTTCTTTGTGGCACCAGTACGGGAAGCTAAGAAACATGACAAACTCCAGCTATGTCCTGGTCCTGGGTTTACCCCAAGGGTCCAAGCACCTAATTTTCATATACTCTCTAAAATCCTAACCTAAATTAAGGGTTTAGGGCTAAGGGTTTCGGCTTCAGGGGCTTAGGGTTTAATTTAGGGTTAAGGGTTTAGAGGTTTTTTTTGGTTTAGGTTTTAGGGTTAAAGGTTGAGGGTTGAAGGGTCGAAATAGGGTTTACCCAACCGAAGCGACTGCTGAAGTGAAATGCCCTGAACCCAGAGAGCCCAATACCCCTTGATTAAGCAGTATAGCTAAAAACATCATATGAAGCCTTAAATAGAATTTAAGCCATATTCCTTAATTGAGGGGTATTGGGCTTGCTGTGAACCAAAAGCAACCGAGGCTCCAGAGACGGGACTGGGCAACGTAGATGTTCGTCTTCGCGCGCAACTCCTGACTTGGGGCTCGAAAAAGCCTACTTGGAGGTTCACTGGTAGTTATAAGTAGGGTTATAAGTAGGGTAACTATACTTGTAACTCATATTAGGGGACTTGTAATTATACTTATAACTACCCCTGAACCTCCAAGTAGGGCTTTGGGTTTAGGGATTTAGGGTTTAGAGATCCAGGGATTTAGGGTTTAGGGACCCTAGACCCTCAAGGAGCTAGTGGGCTCAGGTCGTCCAGGGTGCAGCCAGGTCGAAACACCTTCAGAAAGAAGCTTGCTGACAGTTTTCCGGGTCAACATTCCATTAGCCATAGGAGTGAACTTCAAATACGCCTGCGGATATACGTTGGGCTCAATGTACTTATCTAGGGAGTACTTTAAGGCCAAAGTATATACTATTTGGATACATGGACCCTTAGGGATCTGCACCACCATCGCATATACAATCGGCTAAGTTCTTGCCATGGCGAACCTGGTCAAAAGAATATCATCGCCATAACCATCATGATCCATGTCGTGCGCATACATATGTCCAAACATACATACATACATACGTACATACATACATACATACATACACATACGTACACATACACATACACGTGCACCTACACCTACACCTACACCTACACCTACACATACACACACATACACATACACAGATACATACATACATACATACATACATGCATGCATACGTACATACATACATGCATGCATGCATGCATGCATGCTGCATACACACACAACACACTACACTACACTGCATAGCATAGCCTCACATTGCATTACATGGCCGTGCCTTGCCTTGCCTTGCCTACATCCATACATACATCACATACATACCTATACACACCTCTGTATATATATACACACGTACACCTATAATACACTATACATACACTTATGCAGCATGGAGGTATGTGGTTGCTGCACTGCCTTGTGCCAGTCTGCGAAGATGCTGCGAACGCTGGGATCCACCTTTTTGAGCATGTCCTTCGCGGTCTGGAACATGAACCTGCAAGGAACCGGTTCTGGGAATAGGGCCGACCATCCCTGAACCCTAAAACCCTAAACCTTAGAAGCTGCCCCCACCCAGTAATAGTAACTATAAGGAATATATTAGGGCCCTACTATATTCCTAATATATATCCTATTATACCACTATTAAAGGGTGTGGGACCCTAAAAACCCTAAGCCCTAAAAACCCTAAGCCCTAAACCCCTACGAGCGACTAAACCTGGTTTAGGGTTTAGGGTTTAGGGTTTAGGGTTTGACAGCTCCGCCCTGATAAATTGGCCGTAACAAGATATTCCTGCATAGTTACATCGGGACCCTGGCTTTTGCACTAAAGTTTCTTGGGCTCAGGCTTAGGGCTTACGCGGCTTAGGAATAGACTCCAGACCCTCGAAGTTTGAGTATGATGGCATGATGAGCTTTCAATAGATCCATTCATTACCAGCAAAGCAGTAACAAACAATACCTGTACGTGCAGCCAACCTACTGTAGTACCCATTACTACACTTGCATGTCGGGTCATGCAGCCCTGCAAGCTTGAACTGTGCGACTCAACAATCTACTTAGAGGCCCCGGGGACTTAGTAAGAAGCAAGGTTCCTTATAGGGTTTCTTCACAGGGATCTAGAAGTATTCTAGACAAGGGAGGTTAAGGATACTCAGAGGCCCAGGGGACTTGGTTATAAGTAGGGTTATTAGTACCCTGAATGGAGTTACCCTAGTTATAACCCTACTTAAAACCTACTTACTATTACGAAGTCCCTTGGGTCTCCAAGTAGGCGTTGACCCCACGCCCCTGGCCTTAGACGAAAATTTCTAATCCACAAAGCACCAAAGCCTCTGCAAACTAACCATAGAACTCTCAACCCTAAACCCCGAAACCCTAAACCCTAAACCCCGAAACCCTAAACCCTAACCCCCTAAACCCTAAACCCTGAACGCCTCGGAGACCCCTTCTTCCCTAGAGCCGCCGAAGAATCCGAGGCACTGCAAGTTGGACTTGCTGTGGTCCTCTGTCAGCTGAAGGTGCCTTCAGGGTCGTACTTAGTGGCCCAGCTAAAATGCTGGATTTAGGGTTTCAGGGCTCCGGGATGTAAGCCTTACAGGGTTGAGGATTTGGAATCTAGGGATACTGGGACTTCAGAACCTGATCAAGCTCAGGGTTTCAATTGCTTTGCCTTAGGGTTTGAAGTGCTTGGCGCTTCGAGGCCAAAAGTTTATGTGGGCTTTTGGTGTTTTGGCTGCTTTTCAAGGAGTCTTCGGATTGGGACTATGCCTATAAGTTTGTAGGGCTTCGGCATCACTGTCTTCTGGGGAGCTTTAAGACATCAGGAGGGGTAGGGTGCAGCGTGACGGCTTTAGGATGATCGTGTTGGAGCCCCGAACCCTAAAGCCCCAGAACTCCGACACCCCAAACCAATAAACCCCCACACATTGGGCGGTTGTCAAAATTATGGCCCCTTTTTGGGTCCCTATTATAGCACGGCACCTGTTATTTAGGGTACCCCAAAAAGGGACCATAATTTTGACAACCACCCACATGAAAAGGAGCCTCATCATGAGATGCGTTTGTTGCTCCAGAAGCTCTTCGATTCGGTTCTTCTCGACTTTCCTGGGCAAAATCTGGTTTAGGTCTTTAGGGGTTTTGGGGGTTCAGGGTTTAGGGTTTGGGGTTTACGGTTTAGGGTTTTAGGGCTTAGGGTTTAGCTTTAGGGGTTTTGGGGCTCAGGATTTAGGGCCTAGAGTTAAGGGCTTGGGGTCCAGAGTTTACGTTGGTTCTTCAGAATACACCACAGCAAATGAAGACAGAACGAAGTCTTTGTTCCTTTTTCAGCTCGGATTATATTATATTATACTCACCCAACAGGTCCCTGAACCACGTAGCACATACTTCAGTGCTAAGGTTACTATACAGTACAGGACGCCGCTTACACCCTAAGTATTTACTACAAGTAACTACATACTCTGCTGAGCCCTGCCGAACCGCAACTACCTGAGCCCCAAACCTTAAAACTCTCAGAGTAGAACGGGCAATCTAGACCCTAGGGTTTAGGGTTTAGGGGTTTAGGGTTTAGACCCCACACCTTAAAACCCGAAATCCTAAATCCTACTTGGAGGCCCAGGGGCCTAGGTAAGTCGGTTGACGGTAGGGCCATAATTGGGGCAGCTTCGGTTACGGCACCTTTACCTCTACATATAGCTTATAACCTACTTACTAAGTCCCCTGGGCCTCGAAAGGAATATGGCTTGAATTATATAGTGCTTCATACTATGGTTTAAGCTATATTCCTAATTAAGCGGTATAGGGCTCTCTGGGAACCCTAAACCCTAACGAACTTTGGGCCCTAAACCCTAAACCTAAAATATAGCCCTAAACCCCTAAACAGACACTGAACTCTAAACCCCCAAACCCAAAAACCTAAACCCTAAACCCTAAGCCCTAAACCCTGAACCCCTAAAACCCTAAACCCCTAAGCCCTAAACCCTACACCCCTAAACCCTAAACTGTAAACCCTTAAACCCCTAAACCCCAGACCCTAAACCCCTGAACCCTAAACCAAAAACATTTCGAGATTCTGGGCTTCGATCGAAGCGGGAAGCTCAAAGCTCTGCTGGGCAATCTGCATCTCCTGCTCCTACTCCTAGTACTACTACTACTACTACTACTACTACTACTACTACTACTACTACTACTACTACTACTACTACTACTACTACTACTACTACTACTGCATTCGTAAGAAAGTATAGAGTTTAGGGGTTGGGGTTTAGAGTTTAGGGGTTTTGGGGTTTGGGGTTTAGAGTTCAGGGGTTGGGGTTTAGGGGTTAGGGTTTAGGGGTTTAGGGTTTAGAGTTTAAATGTTTGGGCTTCGGGATTTGGATTGAGGGTTGAGCGGTTGGGGTTTAGTTACTGCTGATGGCTTTGGGGTCGGGTTGATGGCTCAGGGCTTCGGGCTAGCATTTTGGGCATTCGAAAGGGGGTTGGATTTGGAATTTAAGGCTTGACGTTTACGGATTAGGGAAACAAGGCTTGGATTTGGTGTGTATCAGGGTTAAGGATTTGGGGGGGGGGGGGGGGGGGGTCGTTTATGGGGTTGGGGTTTTTCAGGATGCTAGATCGTGCTAGCTCCTTCCTTGCAGAGCCTCCCAGATAAAACATCCGCGGCCACTTGAGCTGCGGTTTTTATTCCTGTTTGTGTGGATAGAAATACGGAAACCCTTCCGCAGGACCCTTCCGCATGCTTCTGCGCGCGAGGGTTTTCCTTCCGCGGGCCTCAATTTTCATGTCGCTTCCGCGGATCGCTTCCGCGACCGTTGTTTCGCTGAGTTTGAGTCTTGTGTTTCAAGGTTTGGCTTCAGGTTAACTTCGAGTTTGGCCCTAATCTGCCACAGACAGTATCGATATGTGCACGATCTGCATTCTGACCCTGACCCCTCCTCAACTTTCACTCCACTGTAACCCTTGTCTTATTCGGGCAAACGGGTACCTTCAGGCTGGAATGCCCTAAGCCCTAACTTAAGCCAAGATGCCACTCAACTCAACGCGGCAGCATAAGCGTACCAGTACCCACTACTCATGTACTCCCCCACATTACGATTATCCTAAACGAAAAGCCCAAATACCCAATCATTGGGCCTTTGGACGTTTACAACCCCTATACAACCCTCATACAACCCTTGAAGAACATCTCAGGAACCTCATGATGGGGCCCTTTGCATCTTAAGGAATGCCCTGATTCTCGCGAAAATCTCCTCGGGAGTGCTCTTTCCCATCTTTCCTCTTGCGGGTTTGGGGTTCAAGCTTCTTTACTTAGAGGCCCAGGGGACTTAGTAAGTAGGTTATAAGTAGGGTTATAAGTACCCTAAATGGAGTTACACCAATTATAGCCCTACTTATAACCGACTTACTAAGTCCCCTGGGCCTCTAAGTACTATGTCCATACTGAATGTCTAAGACCAGCTGAAGGAAAATGATTCGATGTCCATGGTCAAGATATATTGCCGCAACTTCTGACCTTACTGCCCCAGCTACTTCATCACGTCTCCTGGGCCATTGCTTGGACAGAAGAGGGTTCACGGTGGCAGGGCAAGGACAAAACGGCCTTATGCTGCGGCGGCTGCGTGACGAACATCTTCGCATGCATGCTCCGTGAAAATCGCGAAGAGGATTGAGAACTAAATCCTGACCATGAGCCCTGGGCTAAGCCCCATAACCCCGAAACCCATAACCCTGCCCTAAACCCATTAAACCCTAAAGCCCCGAGACCCAAAACTCAGCCGTCCAAAAATCCTCAAAACCCTGCCCGCGGTTTGGGGTTCAGGGTCTCTCTCTCTGTCTCTGTTTCTCTGTCTGTCTCTCTCTCGCTCTCTCTCTCTCTCTCTCTCGCTCTCTCTCTCTCTCTGTCTCTCTCTCTCTCTCTCTCTCTCTCTCTCGCTCTCTCTCTCTCTCTCTCTCTCTCGCTCTCTCTCTCTCTCTCTCTCTCTCTCTCTCTCTCTCTCTCTCAAGGCCCTCCATCCCCAAAGCAAAAGCCTTATCGCCTTAACCGACCAAAGTCGAAAAAGACACCTCAACTCTGAACCCTAAAGCCCGCCCCCCAAATCCCAAAGCCCTAGGGCGGTGAATATCATGAGAAGGGGGGGGGGGGGCAACGTGGAACACGGACACATACAAAGCCCTACAACCATCTTGTAGAAACCTACAAAAACCTATAGAACTTTCAACACCCAGGACAATCCTGCAACAAAAACCAAAGAAGCCCTTTCAACCCCTACAAGCCCTAACTAAAGCCTAAACCCACACAAGGGAGTTTCCGAAAACAGGGGACCCTAATATAGTACCCTAAATAGTAGGATCCTTATTATAAGGAGCCCCAAATAAGGTACCCCCTAATTTTCGGAAACCCTAAACTCTAAACTCTAAACCCTTTATAGAACCCTTATAGAATCCCTAAACCCTAAACTCTAAACCCTTTATAGAACCCTTACAGAATCCCTTTAGGAGCCCTTGAACCCTCGGCCCGAACCCCAAAGCCGCCTTCCCCTCGAGGATGGCCGTCGCTTCCCCTAGGGGCTCGATGAAGCCGAAGCCTTTCACGGTGTTGAACCTCGGGCTCCCACAACGCTGTTGATTCCAAATCCTGGTTTAGGGTTTAGGGGTTTGGGGGTTTATGGTTTAGGGGTTTAGGGTTTAGGGGTTTAGGGTTTAGGGGTGTAGGGGTTTAGGGGGTTTCGGGTTTAGGGGTGTAGGGCTTTTGGGGCTTAGGGTTTACGGGTTTAGGGGTTTAGGGTTTAGCGGTTAAGGGTTTAGGGTTCTCTGTCCATGTGTGCATATAGGTCTATATATATATATATATATATATATATATATTTATTTATATTTATTTATTTATTCTATCGTCTCTCTCTCTCTCTCTCTCTCTCTCTCTCTCTTTCCCCCCTCTCAGTGCATATATGTATCATGCCTGTATGTACATACCACTGCGAATGTTGTACATAAATGTAGATACAATTGTACACATAATCCGCCGAGGCCACAGGCCCAGGCGTCTTGGGGGTTAGCTCAGGTTCCCTCCACCTAATCCTCCTCCCTCTCCAAATGTTTGGGGACAACCGCTTTTTGCGTTCGTTTGCCACCCCCTTGCCCGGCTTCCCCTCATTTTACCTGATTTGTCGGCCTCCCCCCCCTCCCAGGCCTCCCCCCTCCCCCCCTCTCCCCCACCCTCCCCCTGAAACCATAAACCTCTAAAGGGGTAGCTCTAACAGGTACCTACAGCAATGGCTGCATGCTCATACATATACATTCCGCTGCCCATTGGCTCACAGTGGTTTTACCATATTGAGACAAGACAAGCTCTCCTTGCGTAGCAAGACAAAACAACTACTGTCCGTGTGCAGGGCGCTGCCCTTTGATCCTTAGGGAATAACTGGTCATACACCTCCTACAAGGAGTATCCCTTGGGGGTGTATCGGCACAGTTTTCTGGTAGCGGAGCCCGGAAAGGGCCGCCCGCCTCACAAAGTCCGCTACAGCGGTCGGCCTCGCCGAACGCTTAACCAAGCGGATAAGAGGCAGCACAATGTCGAGCTCGCATAGCGAAGCCGACGGCAGTTCCCAATCCTCCGGGGGATATGAGAACGAAGAGACCTCCCAAGGTCCAGCTACTTATGTCGCACAGTCATATGCAACATCTGACCGCATGCTTGCATCATTAGGCATAACGCCCAAGATCGCGCCTGCCTATGATGGCACCACCTCGTGGTTTGAGTATGAACAGTTGATTGACGACTGGTGCGACATAACAACGCTGGATGACACCAAAAGAGGTCCGTCTCTCAAGACGAGGCTCTCCGGATTGGCCGCAGTACAAAAAGAATCACTCAACCGAGAAAGGCTTGCAGCCCCAGATGGAGTAGATTACTTCAAGAAGAAGATGCGTCCATTTTTCGTGAAAGGAGAACAGTACGTTTTCCTGTGGCGTTTTCTCGGCCTATTCAAGGCATGGAAGGGCAACCAAGACTTTGTGACTTGGATTGCTAAGTTTGAGATCGTGCTACAGCGCGTGAGAAACTCATGGATGGATCTCTTACCAGAGATAATTCTGGAAGATGCCCATCCGGATTTCATGCAGGCTGTGCAAGCAGATCAAACCTTCATGCGCCTACAGGATGCAACCGAGAGAGACACATACGCCGCACGTTTCTTCGAAACATGGAACAAGGAACGCCTTGATAATCATCGAAGAGCGTTTCCTCTAAATGATAATCTCCTAGCTCTCCTCTTCCTAGTGCAGTCCGACCTAAATGAGATGCAACGTGAGAGGTTGGTAACAGCATTGACCAACCAAGGTTACCGAATTGAGACCTACACGTACCCTATAGTACGGCAGACCATGTTCGATCAGTTCTCAACGACCAGAACTGGTCTGCAGGATCCCAATATTCGGCACACTTCTCACAAGAAGGACCGCCATGGAAGGAGAGATCAACGCCGCAAACGCGGAGGTCGAAACTTCCTCATCCTCGATCAGGGTGAATACGACGGAGTCGATGGATTCTGGCTTCAAGACGAAGACACCCTTGAGGAAGGCTTTCTTGCCGCCGAGGATGAAGAAGCTGTCTTCTGGACAGTTGACGACCATGAGGCCTTCGTTGCAAGGAGATTCAAAAAGGGAAGAAGACCAAGAATGCGTCCCGGATCACCGGGAAGAGCAAAGGGTGGCAAGCGAAAAGGACGTGGCCGTTTTAGGTCATACCGCGGAAAAGGGAGAGCCAACCAGGCAGAACATGATCCAACTGATTCCAGCTATTTCGGTAAAGGCAAAGGAAAAGAAAAAGGAAAAGGTGGAAAAGGCAAAGGAAAAGGAAAGGACAAAGGAGATAAAGGAAGCTCCTTCAAGGGTACAAAATCAAAAGGCAAAGGTAAGGATACAGCTAAGTCTGCCTCCTTACAAGGAGACCAAACTGGATCTCCACAGGCCTATGAAAGTTCCACCGCACCGAGCTGGGATTCATGGTATGAGGACAGTTATTATACTGACTCCAGTTGGAATTATGCCGCTTATGACGATCAAACGTCTTATACATACTATGCATCACAAGCCTCACGAAGAAAGACACGGAGAAAGAAGAGAAGAAATCAAGCAGGATCATCAGGTAGAGGCACAGATCCGAGCGCGCACCAAAAACCCGTGTACAACTCATTAGTGAGTTACGCGCCCCAGGTTTTTGAATCATCCGAGGGGCAAGGTGTGGAGACTGCAACAGCAGTGTTTCCGTTGCAGCACACCGTCCTATCTGCTCTTACAGAGCGGATCAATCTTGATAAGAGCCCTACCTTTGTCATTCTTGACTCTGGTTGTACTAGGGCTATGGGTTCCCGCTATGCGGTGAACAGGCTTATCAAGGCCGTGAAGCAACATGCCCCAGGCATGATTGATTTCACTTTTTCACCTTCGAACACGAAGTTCTCTTTCGCAGATAGTGAAACAGCTCTTATCAAGGAGCGTGTAACTCTATGGTTTAACACAACTCCAAGAAGAGATACAACCATAGAAGTTTTGGATCAGGGAAGAGTCCCCATCTTGTTCTCCATTGAACAGATGAGAAATCTAAGAATGACCCTCGAGTGTAGTCCAACAGCTGACCTAGCAACGTGTGAAGCTTTCGGTTTGTATAAAACCCCTCTTCCGATTAGTACCAATAACCATTTGGTATTGGACCTTCTAGGCTTTACTTCCACCAGGAAGTACCTTCCTAAGTCAGGTACATCGTTCCGTGCGACGGAGACTGCTCTAGGAGCCAATAAGCCTTATGTTAGGATACCGGAAGGTCGCTGTCCAGCCTGTGCCGGACAGAAAAAGGCTCACACGTACCTCAAGGGTTGTGACAGAGCACCTGAGGGAGCAGCTGATCCACCACCGAAGAGGATTTCAGGGAAAAAGAAGCCTCTTTCATCTGATCCGGCAGAATCATCTGCCAAGAAACTTGATCCACCAGAATCATCTGGAGATGTTCCTGAGCCTTCCGGACCATCGGAACCATCATCAGGCTCTAGGGACAAACCTGCAGAATCCTCTGCACCACATGAACCTCCAGAAGAAGAAAGACTTGAGGTTCCACCTGCGAAGATAAAGACTCCAAAGGGTCTTAAAAACCTTCTGAAGAAATCCCGCAAATATGCGGCTAAATCTCCTGTTGAAGAAAAGTCTAAGGTCCCAGGAGCTGATGACGGGACGGAGGTAAGACCACTTGAGTCAAGAGAATACCCGGCTCCTGGCACAGACTCACCAACAGGTGAAGAGATTGTCGCAGAACCTTCGCCATCTCTTCCCATTGCTCTTCGCAGGATTCATGAGAAGCTTAAGGACCCTGTAGAACTCTATAAGCTTCACCTTAAGCACCGTCATATGAGTACGGATCAGTTCAAGCGACGCACAAAAGCCTTACAGATCCCAAAGGAGATCTACGAGCTATATGACCAACTGGTCAAAAAGTGTTCAGCCTGCCAGGAACATGTGAGAGCTCCTTCGAGAGCGAAGATTTCTGGTCTAAGATCA